CAATTAACACACTGACAAATGTACTCTTGTGTATGTTTTGTTTTCTGTCTCTGCAGGCTGCATGATCGCCAAAAGAGAACTGAACGGGATTCTTTACTTCAGGGCGTGAAGCTTCCACCGCAGATTGCCGTGGCTAAAAAATCCCTCCTGGAGGTTCGTGACCTACCATCACAGCCAGTTCAGCATAGACACACACTGTTGGAGTTCCAGGAGCCTGAGAACCGTGAGGGTGAAGCAAAAATCCGCCAGAGACACAATTCCAGAACACCCGCAATTCCACACACAGGTGGGGAAGACGCAGCTATTGCTAAACAAGATGCTGCTTCCTCTCAAAACAGCTGTATGGAGGGCTGGTCCTCTGCCTACCAGCCATTCCCAACACACTACCAGAGTTGGTCTTCTTACCAGGCACCCCTGGCACACTCTCACGTTTGGCCTGCAACCCACCCACCACCCTCAACATCTACCCAGGGCTGGTCCTCCAACCAAGGCTTTTCTGCAACCCACCCACCACCCTCAGCATCCTCCCAGGGCTGGCCTGCAACCCACCCACCACCCTCAGCATCCACCCAGGGCTGGTCCTCCAACCAAGGCTGGTCTGCAACCCACCCACCACCTTCAGCATCCTCCCAGGGCTGGCCTGCAACCCACCCACCACCCTCAGCATCCACCCAGGGCTGGTCCTCCAACCAAGGCTTTTCTGCAACCCACCCACCACCCTCAGCATCCTCCTCAGGGCTGGCCTGCAACCCACCCACCACCCTCAGCATCCTCCCAGGGCTGGCCTGCAACCCACCCACCACCCTCAGCATCCACCCAGGACTGGTCCTCCAACCAAGGCTTTTCTGCAACCCACCCACCATCCTCAGCATGCTCCCAGGGCTGGTCCTCCAACCAAGGCTTTTCTGCAACCCACCCACCACCCTCAGCATCCTCCCAGGGCTGGTCTGCAACCCACCCACCACCTTCAGCATCCACCCAGGGCTGGTCATCCACCTCCTACTGTCCTGACCAACCTAGCTTCCCTCACCAAGGACTAGATCCCTTTAACCGCCAGCGCGGATGGCGATTACGCAAGGCAGCCCTTGAGAACCAGGAGCGAGTGAGAAAAGGTGTGCCCCCAAAAATGAGAAAGGCAAAAGAGAGCTACCACTATGAGTGTAAACTGTGTGGTCAGCCTAAATCAAAACAAACTGGACACTCACAGCTACGTGGAAAATGGTACTGCCCTGCATCTGGACAGACAATTGAGGAGTGGAGAAGCTCTTTGTAAAAACATTCTTTTTTATTAATATTTTTAATAATACTTTTATTATTATTATTATTATTATTAAAATGTTCACATTCACTGTTCAAACCATTTGTAAAGAAAAGAAAAAAAAACGAAAATTAAGTTAAAAAAAGAATATTTGCTGTTGCAAAAAGAAAACAATAATTAGTTGCTGTTGCAACTATTTAAAAAACAAAACAAACATAAGTTGCTGTTGCAACTATTTAAAAAACAAAACAAACATAAGTTGCTGATGCAACTATTTAAAAAAAAAAAAAAAAAACAACAAAAAAAACCCACAACTCTTGTGGTGTAATAGTAACACGTCCATCCTTTGGGTGGGAGACTCCAGGTGCAAATCCTGGCAAGAGTGTGCAACTTGTTGACCCAATCAGTAATTAATAAAAAAAAAATTTATGACAGAATTTAATCTGCATTTTCTCCTTCTTTTCTTATTATTAATGTACCGGCAGTCATAATTATTATCATAAAAAATGTTTTATTAAAAAAGTATTATTATTCAATACAATCCTATTTGTATCAGATTTTAAGATATATTTGATAGATTCATAGCAATTTCTAATAGTTTACGTTTATTGAGACGTTCCAATAGCTGGAAAAAGCTGCCCAGGAGGATGAGGAGCTAGTGTCAAAGGGGAAAACGCCACGGAAGAGGCTGACAAAGGAAAAGTACAATACACCTGCAAGGTGTGTGGCCAGGTCCGCCAGGACAAAAATAAAAGGACTGCACACACCCAGCTGAAGGGGCGGTGGTACTGCCCAGCATCAGGACTGACCCTGGATGTCTGGAGGAAGAGTCTATAGTTGCTGTCACTTTTACTTGTCTCTCTCTGTCATTTATCTTTCTGTTACAATAAAGTTTAATAATTTTATTGGAGCCAAACACAGCCTTCACATTTTTATTTAATTTCCTCTTGAATACCAGGACAGAGAGTGTCATCCATTGAATGTAATTGTTGAAACTAAAGCCAGAATTACTTGCAGAATCATTTTACATTTATTCACAAAACCCAACACTCTATGCTCATTTTGGAATATGTTTTATTCACTTGTGCTGCACAGATGTAGTCTTTCAAATAATTGAGTTTACCAAAAAAGAGGAGGGGAAACATGTTGAAAGAGTTATTTATATTTACAGTTACACACTGTTAATAATGTTATAGCTTTAAATGTAGCATGTGACATTTTGAGTTAATTATTTGAATATTGATTTGTTTACATCACAAAATATGTTTACTTAAAAGAGAAATTTGCTTTAAATGCATTTGTGTGCATAATTGCATAATCACAGGGTTATTACTATTGTGAATTACATGTAAAAGAGTTCCTGTGTTAAAAAAATGACTACGTTACCCAAAATGCATTGCCGGTAGTACTTCCGGAATGCGCTAGAGAACAAGTGAAGATGCAAGCGATATTGCTACAGCGTAGGTTTGAATCCCGCAAAAGACATGAAATTAAAGTTATAATAAACCTTGAAATAAGTGCAGAACTTTGTGTAAACAATGTTGAGAAGATAAGATAGTAGATAAAAATGGATGTAGTGTACGTTTTCCTCCTTTTTTTCTCCTTTTCTTTTTCTCACTTTCCCCCTCTTTCCTCCCTCTTTTCTTTTATGTTATCATGATTGACCACATCCAAAGCTTTTGTCAAATCAATAAACATTGCAGCACATGATCTTCCAGTATCTAGGGCGCAAGTAATGTCATTTAAGACTTTCATAGTAGCAGTTACTGTACTATGATTTTTTCTAAAACCGGACTGAAACCTAGATAGAATACTATTTATATTTAAAAATTCCTTTAGCTGTTCGGTGACAATAGATTCTAAAATTTTAGCCACAGCTGATAGCTTTGAAATCGGTCTATAATTATTTAGAATGGTTGGGTCACCGCCTTTCAGCAGGGGTACAACCAAAGCAGATTTCCAAATATCAGGAACAATATTTTGTTCTAACGATAAATTAAAAATATAGGCTAATGGGCCAGCAATGATCTCGGCAGCCAGTTTCAAAAAATTTTGCTCAATTTCATCAGGCCCTGCAGACTTCTTGATGTCTAGATTTTTTAAACCTTTTAAGACCTCACTTCTACAAATTGGAGAAAAATTAAAAGTCAGACTATCTGCTCTCCGAAGAGATGGATTTGGTATAACACTTACAGTAGTTTCTTTAAAAATAGAACTTGAAGAAATAAAATGCTTGTTAAAAATATTTACCATAACCATTTTATTATTAATGAGCATATCGTCTGCTAAAATTTGGTCTGGAAAATCATTAGATAATGTGGAGGGACACAGTGATCTGATGGTTTTCCTAAATTTTATGGGATTATTCAGATTTTGTGAGGTTTCTTTTAAATAATATTCAGATTTAGATCTGCGTACAAGAGCTGTGCATTTATTTCTCAATACTCTAAATGCTACCCAATCTCTTTCTGTATCTGAATTCCTCGCAGTGGCCCAAGCCAAATTTCTTTCATAGAGAAGTTCAGATAGTTCATTTGAGAACCATGGATTATCGCGGCCTTTTACTCTGAAAGTCCTAACAGGGCCATGTCTATTCACAATCTTCAAGAACAAAGTGTGAAAATACTGCCATGCAATGGACACATCTGGTATTAAATACAATCTGTCCCAATCAGATGCAAACAACTCGTGTAAAAACCCCTGAATATCAAACAATTTAAAGTTTCTTTTAGTAATAATTCTAGGTTTTACTTTGGGAATTTTACAATTTCTTATAACCGCTATAGTGCAATGATCACTGACATTATCAGGAAAGACTCCTGTATAGGTGTATTTATGGGGTTTATTTGTTACTATGAGATCTATTAAAGTGGACTTGCTTGGGTTCTTAAGATTCAGCCGTGTTGGTGATTCAATGAGTTGAGTGAAGTTCACAGAATCACAATATGCTTTGAACTGGTCTGAATTTGAGGTCAGCCAATTCCAATTCAAGTCACCCAATAATACAAGATCTTTAGAGAGTATGTCGTTTAAGACAGCTGACAGTGAGGTGAGAGCATCACTAATGGCTGCTGGTGGCCTGTAACAACCTACTATACAAAAATGACAGTCCTTTCCATATTCCAGATCAATGGCCAGTAATTCAAACTGTTTAGGGAAAGAGACTGATTTAAGAACAGTTACATGATAGTTCGATTTAATGTACATTGCAACTCCACCCCCTTTACTTTTCCAATCAGCTCGAAACACATTATACCCTTCTAGTGCAATATCATGGCTTGAGATGGATTTTTTAAGCCACGTCTCAGAGATAACCAAGACATCTGCTTTAGTCATCTTTGCCCATATATGTAATTGATCTAGTTTTGGCAGCAGACTGCGAACATTTAGATGTACCATTCTAAGGCCTGATCTATTTGAAAAATCTAGAGGAGTTGAAACTACTCCCGCCGGACCAGGATTTGGATTTATACCGGCCAGCAAAAGCAGCATCATTATCAAATATCGCTGCCTTACATTTCTAGATGTAGTAGTACATTGCCCGTTTCGAGATTCCGATACAGAGATCTTAGGGATGAAAGTAAAGAGGGGTAAATTCATTGTCCTTGAATCCATTGGAGCGGAATTAATAAGAGCCCGAAATATAAAAATAATGTCCGTACATTTGGATGGAAGAAACATGAGACGCGACAAATACATCGCTTTTTCTTCCGTTTTTGTTGGTGTGTCCCATAGTCCAAGCATGAAGATTACCATGCAAAAAAGCAACACCTTCATATTACCAGCGTTTGAAGTCAGAATCGTTCAGACTGAATCCGAGACCAAATTAAGTTTGCTCGAACAGCTCCACGACCCCGACAAAAGGGCAAAGAGCAGCACGATATTGTGGAAGATGAATCTTATTTACGGACAATCAGCAGCTGGAGAGTTTAAATTAGGCAAGAAACATCACCGACCTTGACTGCTACAATCCCCACCGCTAAATGATCTCTGAATCCGGGGGTTCTTCAAGTAGTTGCCGTTCCTTTCCGTGCTGTTGTCTAACGCCGATGCTTTCCAACGAAACAACGTGGTGATGAGATATCAAGCCGGAAAAATGCAACAGATACGCTTAACCCAGCGCAACAGCCAACTGTCCGATTTGCCGTAGTTTGACGCAAACGCTTCCCAAAGCGAAAGCGAAAGCGGGGTGGATGACGACCCAGGGTAGAGCAACGACCAACAGGTAAGCACGCTTCGCCCAGCACAAAGCAGATTGTAGAATAGCTCAAAATCCGTTTTAAGAAATCTGACTTAATCCAGACTCAATTCAATAATGAGACCGAATTTTAAATGCTTTCTTGGAATAAAAATAAAAATCTCAACATCTAAACAGAACCAAAGAAGACTGTAGCTCAGCAGATCAGACAAGACAAACACAGTGCTGCCATCTTGGATTTTCCACCAACATCCTTTACTGAACCACCCGCATACATTGAAGAGCAGCAAAACACTCCACAAACTGCACCTCAAACACCATCCCTGGACATTAACCTGAGGCCTCCAGAAGTGAATTGGGTGAGTTTTCTCCCCAAACAGTTCTGTCGTGTTATTAAGCCAGCAGACCAAAAGTGGATAGCCCAGTGTCTATGTGACAGTACAGGACGACTAAAGCAGCAGTTTTTTAAAACTGGTTTCATCCACCTAGTCCCAGCAAGCCTACTACTTCACCTCCTGATCCTAACACTTACTTCAGACAGCGGATGTTTCTGTGGGGCCCAATGAGAATGTGGGGTATTCCTCTGAAGTGCACACAGTGCGATAGAAAGATGCACCATTCAGGAATCTACACCAAAGTGAGGGAAGTCATTGATATTGATTGTAGATATTATTTAATTGGAGTAGACTACCCTCGCTGCAGCAAGTGTATGATACCTGTCTGCCCTTGGAGTTCGGAGATCCTCAAACAACTTGATCCCTCCCACAGAAACAAATTCCCTGCTGTTCTCACCACTCACCTTGCACTTGACAGGAAGTGTGTGACTTTGTTGAAGCCCAGAACTGCAGGGAACAGCTCTAGTTTCTTGCAGCAGGCACTTGAAGAAATTCACAGCGAGGAGTGGGGAAGACGGACCATAGATTATCTGACGGACTGTGAGTTACATAAAAAGAGATCCGCCCTGACACAAACTGAAGTGATTTATCAGCAGCCACCACCTTTTTGCCCCATACCTCTGGCCCAGTGGTTTGAGACTGTTCATGCCAATGAGATCCTGTGTCACATTGATGAGCTGAAGGGTGTCATAACATCGACGTACGGTAGCATCCTGAAGCTTGATTCTACCAAGAAGGTAAATATATATAAAAAGAGGCAAATCAGCTGTATGTTATGTGATTTTTCTGATTATAATGTTTGTGTATTTAAATAGATAACTAAAAAGCTTGCTGGTGGCATCGCGGATACTGCTACATGGATGACCAATGTTGGCAATGAGTTTGGCCAAGTCCTGAACTGTGTCTTAACCACTGGTGAAGGAGCTGGCATAGATGACTTGTGTCAGGGCATCGTAAAGAGATACAAGGATGCTGGGGAGCCAGAGCCAGCTGTGATCTACGTTGACAGGGACTGCTGCAGCGAGACAGGTTTGTTACATTAAATCTTTACCTAATATGAATGTGTTTGCATCTATGCATTTCTAATTCATATTAGCAACAATTTCAGGCATTTTTCTGAATGAGAATAAATCACAGATCTGCACGGTTCCAACTATTATTGGACAGGGACTTTACATGCTTTTTCTATGTGTTTGTTCATATTTTTTAAGAACACTCATAAAGAGAATTGTAAGAACTATTTACAAGAGTAATGTATATGCTGTGGCAACTGCATATCCAATGGCGCGGGTGCCTCTTATGTGCAACCAAATGGGCTAGCCCTACGTCATTACACATCAGAACCCGACAAGGGGGCGTGGCGTTACTCACATACAAATACCGGCTGGTTTGCACACCCCTAATATATACACAATGGTTATAAATTTCTTAATTTCTATTTACAGTAGCAATTTACTGTGAGAACCTTGGTTCAGTGTTTGCAATCAAGTAAACAAAAGCTTATGTAAAACAGCATTATTATATTTGTTTAATGATGCAAATCACTAAAAATTCGCAAAAAATACACGCATTGTTTCTCCCTGGTGTAGGTGTGACTCCAGTTCTGACCTGGTTTCGCCCATGGAAGATCACTGTGCGACTCGATGTTTTCCACTTCATGCGGCGGTTCACAGCTGGCCTTACAACGGAGCACCATCCATTGTATGGCACTTTCTGCTCAAAGTTGTCCAGCTGTGTGTTTGAATGGGACAAGGAGGACATCTCTCGCCTTAAAGAGGCGAAAAAGAACATTCTTTAAAAAAAAAATAGGGGTCATATTCCAACAGAGGCCCAAATCCTGTCGAGCATCACCTCCAACGAGCTGGCCAAGCACTGCAGGAGGAGGACACGTGGAGTTCAAGAAACTTGTGACCTGATCCAAGGACTGCTGGACTCCATGTGGGAACTGACCGACACCACTGGTTTGCGCCTCATCAATCCAGAGAGCATGTCACACGTGTGGGAGGTACAGCAGAAACACTTACCTTGCATCCAAGATCCACCCGGTGTTCAGCTGTACACAAAACTGGGCTCCGGTTTACAGAAGGGTGACAAGGTTCTGGATGTGCTGAGGTGTGGCAGAGGGTCCTCCTCCCTGGAAAGCTTCCATCGCCACCAGTGCACTTTTATTCCAGGTAAATTTAAATTATAAGACAATACCATGTGTATATTTAAATAGTGTTGGAAACGCCTTATTCACGGCAGCGCCATCTTTGTGTTTTAATGAGAATGAAAGCGAGGCTGTGAGGGATAGACTTGCATCTCTTCAATGGGCTGTACTGTTATTTAATGTGTTTTCGGATTGTTCTGCTCATGAAACACTGGAAAAATATCTTTCCAAGAAATGTCAGTTGACAAAAAAAAACTCCCGACAATGTAAGCTGTGGAAAATTTTAAGTAATCTAGCCGCTTTATTCAGCTTTTTACAGCGGATGCCATTGGAAACACGGTATCTTTCACAGCCTCACTTTCATACCTGTCATGGTGCTGCTCTGAATAAGGTCTATTGGATCCAAAAGTTGGGGTTATATAATAGTGTTTTAATCATGTGAAACATTGTTTTTCAGGGTGGAGATGTAATGCACTTCATACACAGATGTACATGCTTGAGGGGGCATCTAGGTGGAACATCAACCGAGCTCATCAAGCTGTGGACATGAGTGGTACATCACAAACAAAAATGTATAATGTACGTTTAATGTCCCAGATGAATGTCCTCAGCAACAAAGTCCTTGGATGTCCACTCCTGCCAGAATTCAAACCTCCTGGGAGACCCACCGGTAATATTCAACATTGTACCCTCTATTGCAATAGTGATTCCATGTTTGCATGACTGATGATTGCTATAAAGGTGCCCATTTGTAGTTATAAGATGTGTCAGTTTGTGAAATTCCTTTGTGATTTTGGCTTTTATTTAATTGCATTTGTCATGTGTTAATCCAAAAATGTATTATTTGTTAGCAACACTAGTTTCATCACATGCTTTTCTGCTTTAGCCTGATATATAGCTCTTTTTTTCAATATGTTTATTGAATTTTTATGGCAGATGAACGTATAGCTGTGGAGTATTTGCTGGCCCAGTCTAACAGAGGAGACCTGCTTTCTCCACTGGAGCAACGTGAAATCCCCTTGCCAGAGTTGCAGGTTGAAGTTCAGGAGGATGAGTGTCTGGATGTCACAATATGTGATGCAGCAGACATTGATTTAGACACACCCACCCTTGGAATTTCCAGCAGTCATGGTGATTCATTGATCTCACCTCTGGTAATGTCAATTTTCTTGATCATTTTAAATTAAAATTGCATAGAAATGTTAGTTTTTAGTAGCAACTAATGAGTTGCTTCATGATTTATACTTTTTTTAATTAGAGCTTTTTTAATCACTAACAAGTGCACTGCTTACCCATACTTCTGATACTTTTATTAAACTCTTAACACAGACTCACACCTACAAAACACAATTGGCCGAATGGATAATTTTCTTCTCAAAAACACATTTTGTTAAATATACACTAACTATATTTCAAAATAGAACACATCTAACTTTACCAAAACACTAGAAATCTTACTCAAACTGAAATGATTCTGTCAACGAATAACGTTTGTTTTCGCTTCACAAGGTACATGCAGTCAATCAAAGTACACCAGGGGCCTGTTTCAGAAAGGAGGTTAAGTGAAAACTCTGAGTATGTTAACCCTGAAATGAGGGAAACTCTGGGTTTTCCGTTACAGAAAGGGGGGTATATCAAACCCGAGAAAGCAGAGTAAGTCAAGCCCGTTTCTGAAAGAGAGGTAACTTATACTCAGAGTCAGTTACCATGGTAACTTACTCTGTGAACCTAACCTGGTCGGGAGCAGGTTTTCTTCAGTAAACCCAGAGTTTCTTGCGGTCTCCTCCCCTTTTTTAAAGAGGAAGTGCTGTTTAAACACCAACAATAATACTAAAATGTATTTACACATTCTTTAAGGAATATATATATATATATATATATATTGTTTGTCCATGGTTTAATAGGCCTTTATCGCATCAAAATAGAACGCCGGAAGTAACCGTCAAAAATAGCTGAAGCAGTGTACTGCGTCTTCCGGTTATTGCGTTCGAAATGGCTGCCTGTTATCGCTGGACTACTTCTCTCTCGAATCTCCCAAAAGTTGGCCAAGACGATGTGGTGCCTCCAGTTGCCTGATGGTTTCGGCAGCAGCATCAGCATCTAGTCCACCTGCGGAGTCGCGGGAGTAATTGTGATCACTGGCGGCCGCGGGTTGTTGATCCTCCGCGACTGTGGGCTGTTCATCCGCGTTCTCTATAGACGAATCCGACGAGCGTTCTTGTGTAGGCTGCCATCTTGTGGCGACGCCATTACTGAGCTGTTACACCGGCATAGACATATGCACCGGTATGTAAACAAACCTCGGAGATAAGGTGATAACGCACCCTTAATGACAGCTAGAGCCAGGCAGACTTGTTGGGTTGATGATGTTAGACATTGGCCTCCAGTCACAGATGAAGGTACAAACGATCTTACAGATTATTTATGAAAATAGCTTGGCAAGCAAGCTAGGCTAACGTTTGCTACCGAGGAAACTAAAAAAAGATCTGTCCATTTGGCAACAATAAATAAATGAAATCAAATAAACAATTTCATGTTTTTCATTTGTGTGCATTATTTATCTAATTTTTACATTGCAACGGGCATGGGTAAGGTAACGTTACAGCTAGAAAGTCTACATAATATCGACCAACTACTGTTTTTAAACCATGGAAAGAGGTCAATATAACAGCAGGAGAACAATTGTGTCACATAACGTTACATTCAGCTCAGGAAAGCCATTTAATGACCATATTGAATAGAAAAAATAACAAGAGAGGAGATTTTGCTGATCACTATATCACACATTTATTATATTTTTTACGTATGTCATTAAATAATTGTTATTATACGCGAATGTCCGCGTCTTGTACTCGCCCAGGAAATCTGTGTAAACCGTACGACACCAGACAGGGGCAGTCGACCCGGGGTATTCACAATTTTTTCTCTTCAAAATTGAAATTTTACTGCCACCATTGAAACAATTTATAACGGAAACTGTTTACCCACTCGACATTACACAAGGGCTAACGTTGTAACGTTAGTGACAGTCGTAAATCGCGAGCTGTTTATTCCAGTGGACGCAAGTTGCAACTAAAACAATAGGAGACAATGGCGCAACGCTACCCAGCAACAGCTCAGTAATGGCGCCCGCTTACTTCCGGTAGTTTCGCCGGATTCATCTATAGCAGAGTCGCTATTCTGTGACTCTTCAATTAACGTTACTTCAAAACGCGCATTAACCCGATCGAAAACTGACTGGCGAAGCACACGAGTCTCCCCCCAGCTGTTCCACGAAAATCGACTTGGTGTAGTACCGGATTTTAGTCTCCTCCGCCCACTTTTCGAGACGTAAATGCTTTCCTCGTCAAAGTGCAAGCTGCATACAAACGTACTACCCCGACTTATATGGAACAAAGGACCTTCGTCCCTCCTTATCAATCTCACCCAAGCCTTGCGGAGGTGTTCGTCTTTTGGGAAGTCATGGAAGCTAAGGTATGGCTGTCTTTGTTTTGATGTTGAACAACCCGGTACACTGCAATAGCACCGGCGAGAGGAGGCAGCCATAGTTTATCTGGTAACTAAGTAACCACCGGAAGTGCGAGTACACTGCTTGGCGATTTCGAATGTTTCAAACCAAGAAATGTGATAAAGGCCTATTGACTAAATCTGTTTTGCAGCACTTTGCCAAAAAATAAAAGGATTAAAACATTTGCTAAACTTTTATTTGATTACCACTGTTTTTGATAATATATTTCTATTAAATCATTGAAAAAATTGTAATAAAATTTAATAAGTTATTCATTATAAAAAATAAGATGTCAATCATAATCATAATCAATTATTGAAGTTAGTTGATATTATGTTTTATTGAACAAATGTTTAATTTATTTAACTGTCATTTTAACTGATGAAAATAATAACTGTAATTTAATAATGCAGTTTATATATTTAACAATTGTTTAATACCATAAACCGTGATATTTTCTGAGACGGTTCTCATACTGTGAAACTCTTACAACCCCACATGGGGGAGTCCCCCACCCCACCCCCGCTGTTAAACAAGTTACTCAGCAACTTTTACTCATGTTTTAAATTAACTACTTTTTACTTGAGTAGATTTTTCAGACTGGTATTTTTACTTTTACTTAAGTAAAAATGTATCAAAGTAATAGTAGACTACTTTAGGTTGAATAACATTCTTCCAGTTTCACCTCTGATATTTTAACAGTTACTCTAAAATAGTTATGAATTATTAACAACAAATGACATCTTCAACGGTGTAGTTAGATTAATGTAATAATTACTATCTCTAGAAAGTATTGGTCTAAATATTACTAAATCCTATATCAACCTCAACCACTTGAATAATACAAGGAGGAGAGACAAGAAATTGCACTTTTAATGCTTTCAAATTAACAATATACAATTGCATGAATTATTCTTGAATTGATCAAAGTGTGTAGAGGGAGAAGGTTATATAAAAATATACCTTTTAAAAATGTATGCTAAATCCACTATTTTTTTATACTGAATTGGGCTATAGTTTATGCAGTAGCCTATTTAATGTAATTGCATCATATTTTATTTTATTTTAAATTAAAGAAGAATTAAGAGTAATCCCTTTAATTAAATTACAATATTTAGATTACTTGGTAATTAATTATACCCAACACCTCTTTTTGTCTGGCGCTGTTGTCATGGTGACTCGTAATATCTGCGCTCCATTGATAATGGCTTTTTATAGCTGTGGTGCACGCGCTTAACTCAGAGTCAGTCAACTCAGAGTTGATTGAACTAACTCATTTCAGCTGTTCTGTAACCGAAAACTCGGAGTTTCCCATCTCAGGGTAAGTCAACTCTGAGTTCAAGCTTTAACTCAGAGTTGGTTGAACCTCCTTATTGAAACGGGCCCCAGGTTTCAAAATACTGGCTATTGTTGACATTACAAAAACTGCATAGACTTTGATGTTTCCATTTTACAGGTATTTGCATGAAAAATATGCAATCCACCATTTTTACACTAAATTTCTTGACTGGATACAGTAATGTTCACATGATAGAACAGAAAATGTTTTACAGTATTGCTTACAGTGAACAAAATATCCATGTTACAACTGATTGGACAAACTCTTGTTAGCGACTGAAAGAAAAACTAATGATAAAACTTTTTTAGATAAAACTAAAGCTAAACCTTTTTGTTGTTGTTGTTGTTTAGCATAAACTTTGAATTGTCAGTTTTGTAACTGAAGTTTATTCTTCTTTTAAAAATGTTTTAAAATAATCTAGGAAACCGTGTACAGTCCTCCTGATAGACATTTCCTGTGCTGGGCCGAGCACACCAGCTCCGGTAAAGTTTGTAATACTTGGTGCTTGTAATTTGTGAAGAATGGTTTATCAAAGAGCTGTTAATAAATGATTTCATAATGCACGATTCTGTTTTTGTTTCCATTTTCAGGACAGTAGAAGTGATTCAAGGGGTGTTCCTGGATGGGAGGCAGTGGATAACCTGGCAGGGTACCTCGTCAGTCTCAACCGCACGATCACTGGTTTATCAACCAACGAGATAGCAGAGATCTTGCGTTGTATCAGAATTTGCATCCCATTGATCAGTCTCCCTCCAAGTATTCCCTTAAGTGCAAGAGAAAGATCTTGGCAGGTCCTTGGAGAGCTTCTCGGAAGCGTAGTGGCTCAGCCCCTGGTCAGCAAGCAGCTGAGAGGTGAGTTAAATTGTTAAATTTGAGTCTTGTTGAATGCTCCCTGTGTAATTTACAGTTTTTTTCAGTCGCTAACAAGCATTTGTCCAAACAGTTGTCACATTTTCAAAACTCTAAACACAATTAGCACAACATTGATCTTTTGTGGCCATACCATTCACACATTTCATGTTGTTTTCACACAATATGCAGTCAGTGAACACATTTCCACAATGCTTACATTTTCTTAACAGACAAGCTATCCACAAGTTTCCGAGGGGCGCTCCTGTAAAAAATAAAGTGGGTGAAACTTCCGGTGAGGCGGCGGAAGTAGCATTCCAATGGTATTTTGTGTGTTAGTTAGCGAAGAGGCTAGCTGTTTTTCGGAGAATTATTTTACTATTTAAAGACGCAAATCTTTATGAGAGATGCCGTTACGGAGCTCAGGGACAACATGTGCTGTTCGCGGTTGTATGTATAGCCGGACTAAACTAGTTCAGTGGCTTAAATGTGATTGTTTTGAACATAAGCTGAAAACGAAATCAGAGTGTTCCTGCCAACGACTGTAGTTTCCATCACCTCCCAAAAGAAGACGAATCTTCCTGTGTACATAAATTCTTAATATTCTATAAACTTTTATCAGCATGTGTTTGGCTGTTCTCTATGTTACACCTAAACTCAGGATCAAAGCCTGTGTTGACAGAATACCAAATGTGCCAGTTAATGTATTCAAGCAGCACATTCATTTATAATTTTGAATAAACTCCAAAGCACAATGACTAAGTGTGTATTTTTTATTTTACAGTTTTTCTCAAATGCTAAAACACATTTCACAAACGTTTCGTCCATGTTCTCCAATGTCTAAACACAACACCCTTTTCTAAAGCTACATAAACACAACCACACCTTCTCCCTTCAAAACTCAAACTTTCACACCAAAAGAGCAGCTCGAAGCTTTCAAAAATGTAAACACTATACACATCATTACACACTACAGGAAAACAATTGAAAACACAATGCTCAATTTGTGAGAAGGTTCATTGTATCATAACTGCCAATGCATATTTTTAGAAACTTTACAGTAATGGATCTTCTTAGATCTCTGCAGAGGATTAATCATTTAGATTTGTGAGTTTCATATGAAGATTATAAATCTATAGTAAATTCAGTACACTACTGTAACACAACTCAATGCAAAAACAGAATCTATTGCACACAACAGTACTCTTGAAAACATGATCAGGGTGTGAAGTTTTTTTTTATTTTTTTTTTTATTTATTTTATTTACACCACAATCACTGTGCGGCATCATGTCGCTGAGCTGCATCGGGCCACATCACCTCATCCACATTGCAGGCTATATTGTCTCTTGCCAGGCACCGCGGGAAAAACGCCCTGGAATGGCGGATCCATCTTTGGAAGTTCTCCACTGGGATGTCAACACACGCCAGTTCCATTGGCCTTAGGAGGTTCTCTAGTGTATGGTTGTCTGTCATAAACCTTCCATCTCCACGATGAGAAGAACTCCTCTATAGGGTTCAGGAAAGGGGAGTAGGGTGGCAGACAGACATTTACTGTAGTCTGATGAGGAGTCAGATGAGGTTGTTCTCACGAACCATATCCACAATGAGGGTTTCTTGTGCCGCTGTAAATATGGCAACCCTCACACCTCTATGTGGCATTCTTTCAACTCTAAAGAAAGAAGCGTGTTGTCAATTGACATGTTTTACAATACAGTAACAACTGATTTGAAACCAATAGACTACTTTCACATGCAGGCTTGAAAAATTGTATTGTGACTTAGAAAGCAATAGAGTACAATACCTGTTGTGTTACCTGAGTTTCCCACCATTAGCAACAGGTGTTTTCAATTTTGAGTTGTTGTGTGTAATGAATGACGCCAGATGTGTTCATTTTGTTCAAATATTGCTGACTGTGGCAAGCATTTTGCATCACATGAGCTTTCATTTGAGAATATGAGCAGAGTTCTTTTGCAACTTGTGTTTTAGCAAGGAAAAATGTGTTAAGATTTATGTGAACGGAGGATTGTGTTTTGTGAATTGTGTCTTCATGTGAAATGTGTTTTTGATATTGGAAAATGATGGCTAGATTTAGTAAATGTGTTTAGACAACTGGTCATTTGGTTTAGAGGATTGGCTTTTGTGTTTTAGCATTTGAGAAAAACTGTAATTGTTTGTCAGCTCGCACAACTGTTTGTCACCATGCCTTGATGAGTATTGATTATAAATAATGTTATTATAATACTCCCAATCAACTACTGTGGAGGGTAAAGGTACTGTTATTTCACCTTTTTTACAGTTTTTTCTGAATGCTTAAGCGCTAATCGTGATTCTTGTAGCACAATTTCTAAAACTATTAATACGTATAGCAAAACCACTCACTGAGTTTGCAAAACTAAAAGCACAAAAACTGCTCAACACTCTTTTTTGCAGAACTTTAAACACAACTCACTGCTTACACTCAATTACCAAATTTCCAACACACTCCTAGCAAAATTAAATATATGTATGGCTATCATTACAGTTTTTCTCGATTGTTTACACACATTTTCTGGTACTTGAGACACAATGACCACAACATGTAACTCATTGACCAACCCCCTGAACCAATTCTGCTGAACTACAAGCACAATTCCTGCTTTACACTCGAATTGCAGTTCCAAAACACACGTTTTTCAAAACACTACACACAATTCTCTGCATTTGGCACAATTTTCATGCAGAAAATCTCTTGTCTTCACGAGGAACACACTGCCATTCAAATATTCACACTGACTCGTCACAAGGGCAAACACCCGTCACACAGTTTTACAATTAGCAATCAGAGCTTTAGCATAAAATACCAAAACCAAAGAGAGAATGCAGCATAGATATTTTTTTATTTCCTTTTTTACTGTAACAGCATAAAATTCTGTTGTTTTGTATGTAGACCACTGTATGTGCGACTTTGTGTTGGTTGGGGTGTACAAAATGTGGGATCTATCTCCCATTGATTTTGTGGGAAAAATAAAATATATTTGTTACCGTGTATTTGTATGTTCTGGGTATAAAAACAATATTCTCAAATATTTTACAACACACACCTATGTATGTAATGTCTGTAGTAAGTGTAACACTGAACAAAAAAGGCCCAAGTCATTATGATGAATGGAGAAGAAAGTGTTTTCCATTGATCATAGTGATTTACATTGAGCACATCAGTGTTCAACTGGTTCTTATAAATGTCTATTCATATGATGGTTTGTGTGTGTCATTTGAAAACAAAATACCATTTTGAGAAGAAATAACATTGTTTTGAATGTAAAGTTTCATTTTGCAGGAGAATTGAGGGGTTTTGCCAATTGTGTGAGTGTTTTTAGATTTGTGTGTAGAGTTCTGAGAATATGAGGGATTCTTTCAGAAAATGTGTGCAAACAATCGAGAAAAACTGTAACACTATTTTGCCAACTGTCTGGCTCACTTTCACATGTGAAAACTGTTTTAGAAAATTAGTTCACTTTGCAATCAGCCTAAGCACTATAAATAAGTCACAGGTAAGCTGTCTGTGTGGAGTAAAATGGAAGGAGCAGTAAGAGTGAGAAGAGTAAGAATCAGAGGAGGCCGAGGGAGAGGACGTGGAGGTGAAGAAGTTGGAGGAAAAGGACGTGGAGGTGAAGAGGTTGGAGGAAGGAGCTAGAAGAGGACAAGGAGGCAGAGGTAGAGGATGTGGAGTTGAAGAGGATACCCGATATGTCATCATATGGGACAATGTTAGTTTCCATAGGGCTGCTTTGGTCCGCAACTGGTTTACACACCACACATTCTTCATGGCACTCAACCTCCCTCCATACTCTCCATTCTTACGTAAATCCCATTGAGGAGTTCTGGAAAGTGTACGACCGTCATCCTCATCAACAGGTAGCCCTTTTACAAGCAATGGAGGAGGCATGTGGAGATATTGACCAGGCATCATGTCAGGCCTGGATAAGGCATTCAAGGAGATATTTTCCCTGGTGCGACATGATGTAGGCTGATTGTTTTTTTGTTTTTTGTAAAATTACTATTTTGTGTTCTGACTTTGTCTTGGTTTTTATGAGTGTGAATAAACACCAATACTTGAAGTTTGTATCCTTGTATGTTTACATGACACTATGACAAAAGTATGACCTCAAATTGACATTTGTACACAGAGACAGCAAAAGCCAGATGTGTTTTGTATTCATACCATCAGTGTGTAGTTGGCACATTGTGTGCTTAGTAGATGATGGCTTGTGTTTACTGTTTGATACAAAAACACAATTTTTACGAAGGTGTGAAGAGTTAATCTAGCTGTGTTTGCTTTTGCAAGAGAACTACTATGTTTTGATAATTGGGTGAAAGGTTTTCTCATTTGTGTGTAGAGTTTTGCAAAACTAGCCAATAATTACAAAAAATGTGCTTAAGCAATCAGAAAAAAACTGTAATTTCGTTGAGGTTGTGTTCCCACATCGTTAGCTAGTTTGGATCGCTATAACTTGAATGACTGTCAACTGTTGAATGAACGAGTGTCAAGCATGTCAAATCGTGCTTTGTTTACTTCCAACCGGAAGTTGCGCCCACTTTTGACGCAAGGCCTCATGGGGCGTAGGAAACTTGTGGATACCAACAAAATTATGGATTGTTTTCGTAGTATTTTCAAATGTTAACACACACCATCCCAAAATAGCAAAAACAATATTCCAAACCTTAGATACAGTATAAAAACATCTGCTTCTGCAATGATATCAGTTCAAAAACAATATATCTCAGCTGATAATAAACAAACAATTGAATGATTGACCCACAGCTTATTTATGTTGGGTAAATTGGGCCAACCACAGCTGTTTTCAGTCTGGCTTAGATTCAGTGGCGGGGTTATTTTTTCCTATTACAGTTTTTCTCAATTGCTAAAACACAATTTCTGAAACATTGCTCCATTTTCTAAAAACATTAAACACAAAACCTTATCTTCAAGCACTATTTACAAAACCTCTGATTCCTCTTGCA